CTTCCAGCTTTGCTTTGACAGGATTTGCTGCTTTTATCTGACTGTAAATTAATTTTTGGACTGTTGGTCAGACAAAACAAGCAATTGGAAGATGAAACCTTCATCTTTATGAAACTGAGAGGGACATTTTGGCCCAATCCTGACATTTTATAACTTAACCAGCAGATTAGTCAACAATGAAAATCGTAAATTGCAATTATACGGTACATAAAATGTCCAGCACATTTCTATGTTTTACTGAAGCAGCCCATTATCTCTTTTTGTGCTCTGCTTGTGCACAGTCAATAGCACAAGAGCCAGAACACTTTGCTTACTACTGCTGGCAGCCACTGGTACTTGTTCTTAAATAAACCATTGTGAATGTGCAAGGTCAATATTGGACTTTTGGAACGACGGTGCAAACATTTGGCTGTGAAACACCTGGAATATACTGTACGAGCTGAGAGAGTTTTTACATGAGTTTTTGGAGCTGTAAAAAAAAAATGAGGCAGTTAACTTCGACAGCATGAGAGAGAACTGAGAAGCTCCTTGAATGGTAAATGGATTACACATATTAGCACTTTTCTAGTCTTATCAACCACTCAAAGTGCTTTACAATACTCGCGACAATCACTCACATATTCATACATTACACACATACACACACTCACACACTGATGGAACAGCCATCAGGGGCAATATCTTGTTCAGTATCTTGCCCAAGGACACTCCGACACGCAGACTGGAGATCACACCACCGACCTTCTGATTAGTGGATGACCCGCCTGAGCCACAGCCTCCCCCTTAGTACTAGGAGTCATACAAATTCCTACTGGCTGTAACATGGATTTGAGGTAGATAATGACAAGTTTAGTTTAGTGAAGCTCTCCTTTAAGGAATACAAGACCTCTGCCATCCTCTATCAGTAACCACAGGAACTGCAACATCAATGACATGGCATCTGAATCACCCCTTTAACCAAAGCAGACCACCATCACATTTCCACAATAGAGACAGCTAAGAAAGCTACAGAGAGCAGAGAACCAAGGGAAATGTTGCAGAGAGTAATATAAGAAACAGAAGAAATGTTCTGTGCTTCACAGGCAGCACCAGTGGTAGATGGAGGGAATCATTTAGTCTTTGCCACAAACCAAATTGGGAAAGTGATTTCTTACGCATTTGTTGAATCACTGGTATTGATTAAAGTCATTTTTTGTGTCACGGGATATAAAAAGATACTTTATGCCTATTTAGCTGTTTGAATAAGAAATCTAAATATGTAAAAGTACACTACCCCACTAACAATACTCCAAACAACAACTAACAATTCTCTTAAAAGTAAAGAATATGAAAACAATATATGCCAAAGACAGCAGAACACTATGGACAGAAAGACAAAAACCAGGCTTCAGTCAGCGTTGATCAACTTGGTGAGTTAAGCACAGCAACAACACTGAGAATAAAAACATGAGGAAATGTTTTGTGGCTCTTATTGGTTACAGCTGTTGGCTCGTTCAGCTTGAAAACAAAAACTGACACAATAAATATGTGCTAGTCACAAATACTTTGGGTATATTACAGGAACATCACAAGTGAATTCTGCATGGAGCATTTGAACGCAAATCTGACACTTCACTCCAACAGAACAGTCACCAAGTAATTTCAAGTATTAAATAACTAATGAGACTAAAATTTCACATCATTAATTTATAAAACGGCAAATGGTTACTCATTTGCTACGACAACCCATGCAAAACTCAAACCAGTGACCTTTCACACCAGCAGACCCTCTGACAACAGAGAGATTTCATCTGTCTACTGTAGTTGTCCAAAGTAGTGTTTATGTATTTGCTGTCTATCAATCATTTATACTACAATACAAGGGAAATGAAAAGTCACAAGGACACAACTGTATAACCTTTTAGTCTCTCACAAGATGAGGAATGTAAAATGATTAACTATGAACTTCGACTTTGGTTTAGTACAGTCTTTCACATACTGTGTGTATAACAAGAGTTTTACATGAAGGAGAATTCACTATTTTTTCATGCAATCAACATCTGTTTACTGTTAGGATATTTTAATAGACTTTTAAGTTAAGGATTTTTTATAGACATATGTGTCGTAACAGATAGGATGATGCAACTATGCAATTTTTTGCAAATTGCAGTTCAGCACATGCCTCCACTTCACTGTGCAGGCATGTTATAACTCTTTCCACGTGTCCATATTTATACAAAGACAAGTCTGTTGTGGGCGAGTCCTGTGATATTGTGACACTTTACTTTGTAACTTTCTTGAAAGTGGGATTTAATGAAGGGCTAGGATGAACTAGGGACAACTAATAAACTGGCAACTCAGTGCAGCATTAAGTAACCTCCAGACACTGCATCTAACACCTGATTCAAAAGAAGTTATATCTTCTGCAAACTTATCATTCATGTTTTCTTAATCTTCAACGCCTGATTAAGGTGATTGTCTTATGTCTACATGACATAAAGTAAACCTACACAGTGTAGACTACAGGTGGGTTTCCTCTTCCACTACATCTCTGGTTGGGGGTAAGGTGTCAGGAAATTCTACCTGCTATCTCCACCAGCTGTCCTCTCTCTCCCTCTACGTCTCTGTCTCTGTCTTTAACCGTCTGCTTCAGCAAACAGGACCTGGCAAACGTCTCAGTCATATTATGCAATGTTAACTACACTTCAGTCAGTGGGAAAAGGAACGCAGGGTTTTTTTTTTGTGAGGCTTAAAGTTGTAGAGTACAGCAGCGAGAGGACTGACTTCTGCTCACTTCCCGGTTAGGCAAAGCCTCTTTTATGAATGGAGTTCAGTCTGTACTGTAGTCTACATCTAAACCAGTGTTGCCAGATTAGATTGACAAAAAAAACTCCCAAACAGAGCGTACAACCCGCCCACGCGTTGTAAAAGTAGCGCGATTTTTTATTTTTCACGTAGGAGAGCAATCCTGTGTTTTCCGTTTATTTGTTCACATTTGGGGAAATGAAGTACAAGCAGCCAGAGTTCGGTATTAAAAGTTCATATTTCATATCTACCATTAAATGTACTGACAACTATCAATCAATTACTTTGACACTGAAACAACCTAAAAACGTGATGATTCTTCGGCAAGTTCTGGTATTATAAGCAGTCTGTGTGTTCAAATTGTTTTTAAAGAAGCGTACTGTAAGGGCCTCCTTAGGCTGTGTCACAACCACTGAACAGTCAATATATATACACATTAAAACTTTTCACAGGTGTAATCCGCCCTAATGCTTCAAATTATAACAACCCGCCTAAATCAAACCTATTGTATATCGAACTTCCTTTGTATGAGGTTTTGACAATGTTTTGTTTGAGTGTTGTTTTCCCGCTAAAACTCCTGTGAGGCCTACACAGGTGTTTATCTGAATTGCTTAGTTGCACAGGTTCTCTAACAGGTGCACCTGAATGCTTGTCATGGTGCAATAGGTTACTAACATGTGTACCAAGTTGATTGGACAGATGATAACATCATCATGGAAAACATTTCTCAAGTTCACTTAATTGCCAGGTGTAATCAATCCGGTAATCTTAAAGACAACAACACAGGTGAAAAGGATTTCCTCATTAGCGAAGCATTTGTAAGTTTTGCTATTGCCACAAATCCAACGTTAGCATTAAAAGCTGTTTACTTACCAGTCTAGAAGAAACGTTGCGAGTTCAGCATGAAACCTCATTCTTTTACTTGGCAAGAGGTGTCTCCGGCGGGGGTAAACAACGCCAATGTCAACTCTTGTCTCCGTCACATCTTTTCTTCTACTGAAGTTAGCACGCTAACCAGCTAGCCCCGGTGGTCTCCTCACTTTCGATAGCAACTCATTGTAGCCTCCAACCTGCCCTGAAGACGTAGCGCTGCTCAGAGGGCGTTTTATAACATCTTGTCTTGAAAATGCAACGATGGCCGAAGCAAGAAACCATGTTCACACTTACAAATAGCCCATTAACGTTCAAACAAACTATTAAACATGGCGCCACAATTCTTCCTCACTCACTGACTGCAGTGCCACACAGCTGCTGTGTGCTCACCTCCGCCACCAGTGGCCGAAAGCTGTATTGCAACAATACTAACGTGAAAACGTAGTCCCATTTACATGGCTTTCGGTCATGTCTTATTTTTCTCTGATGTGAATCAGCCCCTCTTATAATTTTTTGTTAACTGTTAACTTGACATACCAAGAAGATTGTCTTCCAATATATTTGTATTACACATTTAGGATGTGGTAGAACGGGAGAATGGCAGCATGAATGCGCAGCTGACAGAAATGCTGTGATGCAATCATGCCAACATGAACCAGAATCTGAAAGGACTGTTTCCAACATCTTGTGGAAACCATGCCACTAAGAACTGGATGTCCTGAGTGCAAATTGAGGCACAGTACTAGTATTTAGATAGATAGATAGATAGATAGATAGATAGATAGATAGATAGATAGATAGATAGATAGATAGATAATTATATAGGTAGGCCTACTTAAAATATGCAGCTACTATTGCCTAAAATGTATCAAGTTATGTTACATAAGGAAACTTTTTACCCGCCCAGTTGAAGCCATGTGTCAAAATGATAAGTGACATAATATCCTTGCTTTCAAATAAATGACAAAAATAAATCATCCAGACGCAGAAGTGCGCATGCGCATGCAAAATTCCTGTCCCGGCAGTTGTTCCTGAAGCACACAGCTCTAGCTTGTGAGGGGGAGAACTATCTTGGCCACACTTGTATGATCTTTGATCCACAGACCTTCCGCCGAGGACATAATTTAATCGTGTGTCTATTAGCAAAGCATGTGCGACTACGGCAAGAAACATTTTGTCCTGTGTCTGTGGGAAAGTCTTTGAGGAGGGCGCGACTACATTTTTGTGTATTGGCTAACACGTCGCTGTGTTACGCTCACTTAGCAACATGCAGCTTTGAGAGCTATTGTGTAATCCGAATCAATGGTTTTAAAGTGCTGAAGTTAAACAATTGTTGGACTTACCAGCGGATCCACCGGCAATGATCTGATGGGAGGCTTCCCGGAGCATGCTCTGCGGCTTTTTGGCTGTCATTTTTACTGTGTCAGGCTCCTACCAAAGAAAACATGTGAAATACAGCTGTTGCAAGCTCTCAACACTTAGCCGTCTGAGAATAGACTGATAGTAGTTCATATCGTGACATAAGGCAGTGTAACGGTGTGCTTCAGCGCTGGTGAACACCCCAACCAACCTGTCCTTTTCCCGCGGTGTAGTGAGTGCAGTCGCTCGGTTCACTTCAGGCTCGTCCCGTCGGGTTCAGTCAGTGTGTCTGCGCCCACGCTGGAGAAAGCGCAGCACTAATATCTCTCCGAGTGCTCCCAGTGCTAGGCTAGGCTAATATGGAATCAATTACCAGCAACAAACTGCTGGATCACATTTACCCTCCCACTGCCTCGCAGCAATGGGGTGTTTGAATACTGTAAATAACAAATAGATAAACTCTGACCCCACCACCCCTCTCCATGGCCAGTGATCAATATAAAGCAAACAGTCACAAAGGTCATGTTATTTCCATAAATGCTGAACCTAAAAGTGAATAAATTAAAGTTTTACTGTGAATTGACACCAGTCTTGTGACAACATGTTTTTGATGTTAGGCAATACAACTGTCAATTTACATTAAATGCTGCTGCAGTGGTGGAAAGTAACTTAAGTATATTTACCCGAGTACTGTAATTAAGTAACATTTGAGGTACTTTACTTGAGTATTTTAATTTTATGGTACTTCACACTTCTACTACATTTCAAAGGTAAAGGTTACTGCTCTTTTTACTCCACTACATTTATCTTAAAGCTATAGTTACTAGTTACTTTACATATTAACCTTGTAGATACAATACATATGACCAGCAGTGTTATGCTGGTCAAGGCGACGCTGCTTGTGTATTAACGCATCAGTAATAATATTCCAATAATAAGATGTATATAACATTATCAAAGGGGGTTCTCTGCAATGTGTACTTTTACTTTAGATACTTTAATTACATTTAGTTGATAATACTTCTGAACTTGTATTTATTTGGAATGCAAAATATTTTCTTGCAACAGTATTTTTGCTGAGTGGCATTACTACTTTTACATAAGTAAAAAATAGAAGTATTTCCTCCACCTCTGGGCTACCGTACACAAGGGCAGTAGGTCACTAGGTCAGTCCAAATAGGACTGATCAAATAAAAGTACTTACTGTAAATACAGTTTTGAGGTACTTGTACTTTAGTTGAGTATTATTTATGTTAATGTTTGTTTCTACTCCTCTACATTTCCTTTATCAAGTAGTTAAAATCTGCTCCATCCCAAACAAATACAACAGAAAAATATTGCTCATGTTAATGAATATGTAAAAAATAATACACTAATATACTGTATATTTAGTGACATAACACTCTTGATGGGACTGTTTTACAAAATTAATATTTCTATTTTTGATGCTTGAAGTTCATTTTGCCGATTCTATTGTACTTTTACTTTTTGTAAGATGTTGAATGCACTTCTTCACGTGTCAGAGTAAATTTGCACTCTTGATACTTTAACTTTTAACTTTAACTTTTAACTTTCACTGTTAGTTTTTATATTTTATAGTACAATCAACCCATCACTTTAAAAGAGAATCATTAGCAGATTAACTGATAATGAAATAAAGTAAAATAAAGTATTACAATTAAATATCTCATGAATGAGAGACCCTAGTGAAATGAATCTGGAAGAAGCCATCACACTGGAGGCCTATGAGAAAGAACACATGGCTTTTTATGATCTAAAATAAGTTTCAAGCTATGCACACACATGCCTCTGTATACACACTATTCAAGGTAAATATTGTTTTTCAAATCATAATTCATACAACATGCATAGTGACACAGTCAGCCAGTAAAATATTGTGAGGGTAACAAAATTCTCATCTATACCATAACACTGGAATCTTTTACTTTAAATTTAGTTTGATTTAAACTCTTATAAAGCACGTGGCACGAGCATAACTGCACCGTGGAAAGATGACAGAAGTTATTTTCTTTTTTGATGAGCAGTGAAGGCACGCAGAACTTCAGCAGTGAGCCCTATAACGAGCATTTCATTTTGTATAAGAGCAGCCATGGAACAACAGAGCTTCAGACAAGCTATAAAAATGTGGGATTTACAGCATATATTTGGCAGGAAAATGCCATTACCACTCTGACCCCCTTGGATAAGAAAAAGCAGAACAGCTTCCACCCCTACAACCTCAACTCCAGTAAAACATGCAGACTGGGCAGACTGTGTACAACCAGCACAGAGGGTAAGTATTTACTTTATGGATGTGCTGAATGAGAGAAGAAGTTTTTTAGTGACATGGTGTGTAGAAGCAGTGTTTTTTTTTTTTTCTCTCTAAAAAGGAGCTATGACTGAAATATTAATTTTGTTGCTATTGCATAAACCCTGTGTTTCCTGAATAGATTATACTTACTGGCAAAATGTGTTTTGTAAGGTAAAGCCAGCACAAGAAAACAGGCCAAGAAAATGACTGATGCATTCAAGGACTGACATTATTTTGAGAAGCACTATAAAAACGTGGCTAGATTTTTTTTGTTATCACTGAGACGCATTCGTACCCACATTGTTTTCAACAATTATACCTGCTACATGAATGCAGATCCTTAAGTACCACCACAGCATAATAATACTCCATTACAAGTAAAAGTCTTGCATTCATGTAACTAAAAGAAAAGTCTTGTCAGGAAAAGGAATGTAAAGTATTAAAAGTACTTTTTTTTTGTCGGCAGGATTACGCAAAAAGTACTGAACCAATTTGCAGTGACCTTGTTGGAGGGATGGATCACAGGCCAGGGAAGAACCGTTAGATTTTGGGGCAGATCTGAAAAATGTTGTTTTTAATTTGAGTTTTGTCATATGTAATACACAACAGTGGAACACAGCTCATTATACTGAAGAAAATTTGATTATTTAATGTGTGACTTTGTATTTAAAAGCTTAATCTGAAAAGTAACTGGTGAATGTAGCTTTTAGATAAATGTGGAGGAGTGAACCAGAAGAGTAAAGTAGCATTAGAGAAGTACAAGTTCTTTAAATTTGACCTTTAGGTATAAAATAGACTGAGTTAAGATTTAATGAGAAGTAGGTCAAAGAATGAAAAACAAATAAAAACCTAACAGAGGATTGTACCATTTATTTTATTACCACACACACATACAGCACAGGCAACATAAAGACACCATCTTTCAAACATCTGTAACACATTCTAGTACAGGTACAGTAACAGACACACTCTGCTCTTAAATTACTCTGCTACAAACGTGACACTTGTGTGAAATCATTTTCTTTTAAGCAAAAGCCAAAAACTGTTGGAAATAGAATAAATAACTAAAACGGACACGAGCATGACAGTGGTTTGATCCAAAACAGTTCAAGTCATCAAAATATTTTGCTAGCTCTTTTTAAAACTTGTCGCCTCCTTTGTTATTCAACTGTTGATTATTTAACGTGTGAAGACACTGCACTGCTAAAATTTCACAGATTCATTAGACATACAGTTTATCACTGTTATATACCTTTTCAATCCCATTTACCTTATTGAGTACCTGTTATATAACATTAATAGGTGATCTGGGCAAAACTGTTCACATATGTTCAGTTATGTTTTAATGCTTAATGCTAGATAAGTGGGCTAAATATAAACTTACACTTTAAAAAAAAATATGAAAGGATTGTCAAAGGTTCGTTAAATATGACCTTCATTTCTTTGGGGGAATAAAAGCTGCCTTGCCCCCATGTTTTATAAGGAAAATCAAATTGTTCTGGGGTCGAGTTGATTAACTGATTAGTCAATGGGAAGAAAACAAAACAAATAATTAATTTATTGTTTAACTCGTTTTTTAACCAAAAATGCCAAAAATTCACAGGTTCCAGCAACTCAAATGTGATTTTTATTTTGCGTTTTCTATGATGTTAAATTCATTATCTTTGGGGTTCAACCTGGGCTCTGGGAACCTGTGAAAGACATTTGTTACCATTTTCTAATATTTTATGGACTAAAGGAGTCACAGATTAAATGGAAAAAATAATCATCAGATTAATTGATTAAAATAAGTGTTAGTTGCAGCCCTAAATTAGAGTAATATTAGATGTGGATTATATCAAATTAAGACACTAAAATCTATGAATCTCTAGTTTTGCATATCCTATCAGTCCCTTTCTAATTGCACAGTACCTCTTAAATGTATTTAAATTCTGGTTCATTGTCAAGTATGTGTGACAGTTCATGGTGAATATTTACAGTGGCACACAACACTGTATTTCAACCAGCCAGGCTCTCAGGAAAGATCTGAAAGGCTGGAAAAGGAAGTGTGACAAGAGGCAACCAGTAATAACGTCCGTTTTCAACAATGAATTTGAACGTGACCTTACACCTAATTTAAGCAGAGTTGAAACACTCCTTTAGTTGTACAAATAAACAGTCTAAAAAGACCGAACCTAACATTTCTAAATCTAAATCTTCATAAGAAAGTCTTAAAAAAATAATCTCCAAGTACCTGTTCTGTAAGAATGGAAAACCCGGACCTGCAACCCGACGCACTTCAGGCGAATGCGGACTACAGGTAACCTGTCACCAAGCCTCCCTGTAGTCAGACAGTCTGTGTTGTTCTTGTCGCTTGCAGAATTCACAGTAGTGTGGGGCCCTTGGTGGTGTAGTTCATGGCGGGGAAGTGCCTGCTGTCTACGTCCCAGTGGCCGAGGGGCTGGGGAGAGGCAGACGGGAGGCTGGGGTTCCAGTGGTTAATGTAGCTGGCCATGAGCAGAGTCAGCTCCAGTATCTGAGACAAGAGCAAACACACACAGGGCAGATCAGATCGGATCACGATTAATTGCTTTAACATTATAATACGATTGTGTTTCATTGGGTTCTGGGGAGCTGGAGACGCAGTATCGTTCACAGGAGATGTGAAAACCTGAGAAACCCGACTGATCCGCAATGAAGAATGAGGTCACCCTCACTGGCTTCACCTACAGTAGTAATGTGACTCTGTTCAAGCTCCATAGAGATTCTGCACATAAAAGAAGATAAACAATCTGTTTTCTCCATTAGCGTTCAGCTGCGTGAAAACAGGTGAATATGGGGAAGTCAGAGCTCACTGCTCCCCCCCCTTATCTTTACAGCTTCCTCACAGCTCTTCAGTTCTCAATCCAACCACCCGCATTTCCTTTCACCTCAGCTGCCGACGCTTTAGATCAGCGGTTCCCAGCCTTTTGTGAAGACGTACCCACGCAGCCCTATCAGATGAACTCAAGTACTCCATCACCGACACCACCTGTCATGTTCCCAGTGTGTTCACTGGAATTGATTTGAACCTGGATGTTTTTTAACTCTATTAATTGTAGAAAAGTGGATATTGTTACAATTTATTCTGTCAGTGTTGAGCCTTGATGAAGTCTGCAGTTGTGCTAATAGCAGCAGAAGCTAGTTATCCATTACTTTTAGCTATCTGTGTTAGCCTGGTTTCAATCTGACATGTAATTTTAACCATTTAAACATTACTTCAGCTAACAATACTATCTTTTTCAATTGTTTATCTTTAATCTGTTTAATCTCCCAATCACAGGAGGTGGTGTTCAGGTGTTCCAGTTGGCTCAATGAGTGGATGAGTTGAACACCCACAAATCAATCAGACTGAAAACCTCTGCAGATGCACACAGGAGACGTACCTTTGGTTTTGCCATCGCAAAGACCAGCTTCTCCACGCTCTTCTTCCCGACCCCGGGCTCCCTCTGCTGGCTCGTGACCACCATGAAATCGTCACGGCAGCCACCAAAGGTAATCACAGACTGATAGGAGTATGTGACCAGCGTGTGCTGGAAAATGAAAGCATTTGCCAGAGTGAAATGTTGCAGCAAAGTGGATATAAACAAGGAGAAAGTTCAGATTTTATTGCTGATCCCAGAATAAAGCTTGGAATTCATCTGGGAAATCATTTTGGTTTCTGCTTTTCTTTGAGGGGCAAATTGAGTGTGAAGAAGCGTGACATAATTCCCAGCGACTTATTGTCAATTTCAGTTTGGATTTCTCTGACTTTCCTCTGACTTTCTGGGAGCACATGAGCAACGCGGCCAGCCAGACCAAGACTGAAACGGATCAACATGGGCCGCTGCAAATTACAGAGCTCATTTTAACATTGTTTACATGTTGGAACAGCTATCTGTCAGGGTCAAGAATGTCAAAATCGGAGGCTGGCTATTTTATTTTTCCTGTGGATTTCTGGTGTTTCAAAACACCACAGAATAAAAATCATTCCAGACCAATGGGTCAACAAAACTTTACAGCTGTGGCCTATCCAGCTGAGCACAGCAGCCGTAAAAAGGAAGCTCACTTTTTAAAACTAAAGCAAATGGAAACATCAGAGCAAATCCTCTAAAATGTTCTCAATAAATATTTTCTTTTTTTTCATATTTCATGCAACTACATACGACAGACATGGCCGCTGCTGATGGAGGTCTTTGCTCTACACAGTTTGTAACTCACCATTGAATAGTCCAGCACACACAGTCCATCCTCATTGACCGCCAGCCACACCTGGCTCTGCTCAACAGGAGAGGGGGGGACAGGCTGTGGACAGAGGAAACAAAGGTTCATGTTACAGGTGTAAGTTACACCAGGAAACACCACATTCTTCTCTAGGTCTTCTTCCAAGTCTCTAACTGGTCCGACCGGTCCTCACGAGCACGACGGATGACTTCTTACATTTGATTTACTTGTATAAAGGACACATGCTTGTTTTCTATAGGTTTGTAAAACAGAGACCAACATTAAACAAATGACAATGAGAGAAATGGATTCTATAAAGCTTCTTTTTTTTTTTTTTTTTACCTTGGCACTGAAGAGTTTGGCTCCGAACAGGGGCCATTTCCGAGCCACAGTTAGGTATATTCTCACACACTCGGATGCACTGCACCCACGTAGCATAGACCACTTAGTGGCCAGACGCTCAGTAAGGTCTCTGGAAGAAGAAAAGAAACATTGGTGGCTTTAAATATCATTTGTATCTGAATTATTTAGGGTAAATTCATAACTCAAAAACAACCTACAGAATCTGGTGTCTGACCTGACCACTAATTTGTTTTTGTTTTTCTTTAAACAAATCCGTATGAGGATGTCGGGTTCTCAAGTTCTAGATAAGAAAATGCAGAGTGATGCATTTATTATTTGCACAGCAGTAGTAGTTTGTTTCACCTGAGCTGCTCTGAGCTGCAGTCCTGTTTGTAGCGTTTGGGGTAGAAGCGCTCCAAGGCCTGCAGGAGAATCAGCTGAGATTTAGGCTGAGGAGAGCCGGTGGGAGAGGAGGCAGCTGGTCGCTCCAAGTCACCATGTTCAACCTGGAAGAAGAGAAACGAGAGAAGAGAGAGAATCAGAAAGAGAAAGCTGGTTTTAAAACACACATTTTTAATAAGCTACAGCATGATGGACGACAATACAAAGTCTTTTCAGTCCAATAAAAACCTACATATCTATCTTGACCTGATCTTTACAGACCTGTGCCATGAGGGCAGCCACCTCAAGAGCCAGCTCTTTGTTCACGGGGAAGTGGCCTTGCTGAACTTCATCATTCACCTGGTACGCCAGCAGGAGGCGCTCTCTCTCTGTCTCTCCTTTCACCTGAGATCTGAAACACAGTCTGCACAAAAGAGAAAAAAAACAAAAAAACAAGAACAAGTTGTCATGACACTGGTAAATGGCTGGAATTATACACACTTCACTTCACCTCACTTCACTTCACCTCACTTCGCTTCACTTCACAGAAGCAGGAAATCTAACCCTGGCACTTTAAACTCCTGCAAGAAGTGAAAACGGCACATAACACATATCACATCACCAGCTTTCATTGTGTGGTCTGTGTTTCTTTGGACAGATGTTTATGACCACATAATAAGAGATGCCAAGGTAATGTGTGCATATGTGTGAACCTGTTTGCATCCTGAAAAGCCCAGATCGGACAATAGAAATCCTACCTGCTCTTGTATGTCAGTCGAACAATCCGTGTCCCCTCGTTTTTCCCAGGGTGCAGCTCCTTTAGCGCCTGTTCCCACTTGGAAATGACATCACAGATCTAACAAAAGGCAAACAAGTGAGTCTAAAGTCAGACAATATGGACACTTCTACCTCATCTCTGGCTCCATCAACCAAACACTGTATATTGTATGAGCCCCATAAGACTCATAAATTTCACTTTGCGGGCTTGTTAAACATGATGGAACAGTTTCAGTAACAGTAATGAAAATAAAATTGAAGCACCACTTTTATCATGATTGACTTGAATTAAATTACCGTTTCCCAAAAAATCCAACGACATCCACAATTTGTCAAAATCATCCTGAACTGCTCACTACTGATCCTCTAAATGATTAGGTAACATGAGACTAATGATTTGGCTGGATACACCACAGAAAGCCAACAGCCTCAGTGGTGGGTGGAGGGTTTCTTCTCTCCACTTATGTCCGGTGACCCACGGTGGTACCTTGGCAAACGGCTGCAGGCAGTGCTCCAGGTCCTTGCCAGACGGATCATCGGTGAAGAGGGCAAACCCAGACAGCTGAGGCTTCCTCATGCCAATCCTCTGGTTCAGTGTGTTGAGGAACTCTTCAACCGTAGTGGAGCCATCAAACCCCACCACCTACAGAACGCGAGAAAACAAAGGACACGTGGTGACGATATTGTGCAGCAGCAGAACCACAACACAGATGTGCAGGTGTAGTCTAACCTGTGCCACCTAGTGATAAGGAAAGTAATAGTTTGGAACTGCACATGTAGCTGTTCCAACCAGTTGGGGCACGTGGCGTCTGCCTACAGTACAGGTGGTGCTGAAATGATCAGCTGACTGTATAGCTCCTGTTAGAGGAGAATCTGCAGCTTGCTCAACACACATGGTTGAATTTTTGAGTCACGTGCCGCTGCTATGACGAGTTTTACATCTAAAGAGAATGTACGCAATGCACTGCACTGCAAATATGTGCTAGTAAACATTCCTTGTAGAGTATTTTTGAAAATAACCTGGTTAACCTTGTGTTCATTAAGATGGAGGGTAAAACTTTATTGTCACCATGATAACTTTAAGGAGTGATAAAACGTCGTCCCATGGTTTTATTAACCACTATGTTCAGTGTTTTGGCATCTGATTCGCTCTCAGTCTTGGATGTTTTAATCAGGGTATTTGCAGCAACACATCCCCTTCAATTCAAAACCTTACGTTCTTTTAATGCAGTGCTATTTTCAGACCACAACAAGACGAGACAAGACGAGACAGTCGACACGCCTTTAGTAAGCAATGTGTTTGAATCCGTCAAAGTGAGACAGTGAAAAACAGGATTATTGAGTTGTAGTATTTTGGCAGGTATGTGTTACCTGATAGGTGTTGTTCATGAAGTGGACTGGGATGCTGAATGGCAGTGAATGGTGGTATGGGTTCCTCAGCAGGATGGAGACGATCTCCATACGTGAAGGTTTGGCCTCCCGCTCTCCGTTCTGCAGCGTCCGCTCCACAGACCTCTGACAGTACACCGCGTACTTCCCTACCTCACTCCTGTGTGAGAAAACAAGATGGAGGCGTAAACAACGCTCCAAAATCTGCCTCAGAACAGGTTTTAGTTTTCCTGCTATAGTGTTAGGGATCAGTGGCAGGCTGCAGGCTTGAGTTCGTTCACCTTGGGTCAGCGTTGCGTTGCAGGTACTGTCTCAGGTACCAGAGGAAATGTTGTTGAGGAAGGAACAGAGCCACGCACAGAGACAACAGCTGCCAGCACTACAGGAGGAGAAATACTGTTAGTTACAGGCTAACTGAGAGTCTCTTTCACTTCATCTGTGTCTGATCTGTCCTCACTGTGCACCGGTCTGACCTGCGTGAGGGAGTAGTTGTGCGGCGTCCGGTGGTTGGTCTGCTTGATGAGCTGACAGTACATTTCATTCTGCAGCTCCGGGTGGGTCAGGCACACTTGCAAAGCATTCTGGGCCAGCGATGTGTGGTAGTCGACAGATGGAGACTCGACCAGCACGTTGATGAAGAGCTGACAGGACTGCAGCGAAGGGAAAGAAAAACAAAAAACAATGAATTCCACTGAACTACCAGCAGGTGGAGGCAACCACACACCACAAACTCCAAACTTGGGGAGTCAGTGAATCAGTAGCAAAATAAACAGAGGACTGTGTGATGATAATATTCAGGTCAGATTAAAAACAACAAAAATAACGAGGCATATCTTAACTTCATTGTTTTGATCTCATTCTCTGCGACGGGTGAAGACAAAGAACCAATTGAACACTTTTCATCAGTCGTGTCAGATTCATTAATAATTCAAAGACATGAAGTAGAACATAGACTTGAAAAGCATGTCACCTCCATTCACTCTTTTTCTTTGTGCGTGTTCGGGACTGGTTTTTAAGGCTGGCTGCTCAAAGAGAGAGCCGATCCATTCAACCTTCAATCCTACGGGCCTACTGTAGCCGATGGGGCTGTGAAGCGTGAGTCAGGCAGGGCGGGGGGCTTCTGGGTGGGCGCACCGAGAGCCACAGGGTTGAAAAGAGAGGGAGAAGGATCTGCCATCTTTCTACAAGGTCCCTGTTCTGCTCTGATCCCATGTCTCCTCCCCCATCCTGTGGCTTCCATATCCATTGCTGCCACTCTCTGAGGGCCCTGACCTCCCATGTCTCCTCTTTAAAAGAGGGCTCCTTTCACACTGGCTGTAAACCAGAGGAACGGTTAGCCTCAATCAGAGCAGATAATCAAGGCCATTATCTCTCTTCCACACTTTTAATGAGCTGGGGCCCTCGTCCTCGAGCCTTTGATCTGGTTTAGAGGCAGGAGGGAAGAGAAGAAGAGGGCCACGGAGCGCATCCAGGAGTAGGAGGGGATAAAGGGAAGGAGACGAACTGGAGTAGGATGGATGACGTCTCGAACAGACCCTCGCAGCGAGAGAGGCAGGCAGAAAGAGGAGAGAGGGATTTGAAGAAAAGGATGAAAGGAAATGGAGAATCAAAAGTAAGTGGGATGGAACAAAAGAGGCAGACAGAGACGGGAAGAGGGCCGAGAGGTGGAGAGACCGACCTTGAAAAGCTTGAGAGCTTCTGTCTGCAGAGCTTCAGAGGGCAGAGTGGTGAGAGGCGAGCGCAGACCCTCCTTACAAAAGCTCAAGGCCTCGCTCCTCCACAAGGCAGATTCTGGGAAAAGAAGAAGCACGCACGCACGTACGCACACGCACACGCACACACACAAACCCATGCACACATAGACAAACATAAAGATTGAGTTTCAAAGCTGTAATGACTCAACAGCTGACAGAAATTTACACACGGCGCTCCAGCCGTAAACACTGTCTGCAGTGTGGATTAAAGCTGTCAGACATCGAGGATCAAAATAACACGCAGCATGATGCTACTGAGGAAATTTGTCTCCACTTATAGACTTTGCAAGTCTTAACGCCTTCAGTTCATGCACCTACTGTAAAAATATAGTTTCAGTGTTGCAGCTATCAAATGTTTCTCTGTTTTTTAAACTTCTACCTGGAACAAGAAGCATGAGTTAATCTTTTAAAAATTGTCTTTCATATTTCAAGCAGAAAGTTAAAAATAAAAATGAAATAAAAAACAAAAATCTCGTTTCATCCAGTGCAGAAAAACATGCTGTGACTTGAGGAAACTTGGTGTGCTTGCTGAAAGTGGCGTTTTAAAAATAGGACACACGTTTTGCTCTGGATTTGAATTAAATGATTCTCATAACTAACTTGCTGCATCCTGCTTTTTGGACTAAAACAAAGTCTGGCTTTGTAATGTAATTAGGTATTTATAGTTGCTTCTAATTTACTTCAGAAAGCAAAGGAAGATGTTAGAAGTAACCACGGCTCCTCATTTTCCTCCTCAAATTCAAAGTCAAGTCTCTCTTTAACACCTTTTAATAAACCAGGCTCGTCAAATTTCTTACTCATAAAAAGCATGAAACACCTTACGTCCTGATGGTTTACAGGTTTAAGATTCTGACCATGTAATTGCAACATCCCTGTTCTGAGCCCAGCCGGAGACCTTTGTTCCCCTGATCTCCTGTCGGCTCGAAGACAAAAAATATAAGAACTCAGTGAGATCCTGGCGATGTTTTTCTTCTGTAGGATATAGATCTCTCACCTGGGTCTCCCTCTGCATCGAGGAGTTGACCAATCAGCTGCTCGTAGTCTGTGCCCACCTTGAAGGTTGCACTGCTGCCGGCTGCTACAGTCAGGTGATACAGCCATGTGTCCTGCAGGGAATAAAAACATTACTCAATACTCATCAATATACAAACAGAATAACAGCTCGACATTTATTCAGACATTTCCTGTTCCTGTACCTTCTCCTGCTTGGTGCCAATGAGCAGGTACGTAGGGCTCTGGTCTCTGGGCTGTACCACTAAGGTGCAGTGGGAGGAGAGGAAACCTCGACTACCTGCTTCGTAGTCCTCATCTGAATCACAGGAGCGATCCACCTCCTGTACCGACGCCTCCCGCATCTGCAGCTGACCCAGAGGCAGCTGAAACAGAACAAGAAAGTCTGTAAATATCAATACGGATAAATTAAAGTGCGTTTAACTAAAGAAACATGTTAAACTGACATCCATCTTTTTCATGTCTAAGAAACAGCTGGAAGCACCTCCGCTATTTGTCAAGAGTCTTTTATTCTGTACAGACTAAGACAACCGCTGGGGAGCATGTACTTGAAAAGCATTTCTTGAGTTAATAGCTAACAAAACACAAGATTAAAAGCAGAGGAGAACATGTTAAGGGTAAGGAGAGGCTTGTTTTGTGGACCTTGTCTTCCTGGTTGCGATAGTAGTAGAAGACTTTTCCAACCAAAGTGCACCACACCAGCTTCGAGTGTCCATGTTTGACCTGAAACAGAAAACAGCAGAGAAAGTTTGAGAAAAGTTTCAGGACAATTTCCAGGATTATTTGTCAAAACAGGAGTAATGTGAGACTATATTTTTTATGTGTGTGTGTGTTCTTTGAAACTCAGACCAGAGAGCTTTTTAAACAGCTTGACAGATGTGAGTCAGGGAATTTCTGATTTCTACATCTGACCAGCAGATGTCCCAGGAGTGTGTAGGCAGTGTGGGTGTGCAAATCATTTGAGAGCAACTTCAGTGAATTCAGCAACAGTTTAAAAATCCAAACCGGACTTTTTGTTTGTTTCCAAAGCAAAGTAACAACTGATTCCTGCCAAAACGAAAACAGTCCATCCACCTCTGATTCCCCTGCTGCTTTCAACTTCATTCTTAGCCAGAACACAGTTGCAGATGATAATTATAAACCAGAAACCGACGTCTTTTAGAAACGGAGCGATGCTGTCACTGGAGGGTGCCTGCAACATGAAGCCAGCGGTGCATCCCTCGAATGGGGGTCACCGGGGTTAACTGAGCCGAGAGGCACAACAGCCCCTGTCTGAACTGAGATCACGTCATAACCAGCAGATCAAAGACAATTCGCAGGAAGAGGATCGGGGGGTGTTTGGTGAGAGGACATGGGCTCCATCATCTCAGCTTGAGGCAGTCAGTCATCTGTCAGACAGCCATCACACACACCCGTCAGATGTTTAAGTGTGTTAACTTTACCAGCAGACAGTCCTCGGCTAAGGAAAGGCAGAGCCGGAGGGGGGGGGGGGGGGGGGGGGGGAGCTGTGTAGCATTCCAGCAGTTCTGGTCTTACAGCCGTGTCCCAACGTGAAGACGGTTTTCAAGAATCTGCTTTAAGAGTGCTCTGTCAAAACCTCCCCACCCCAGTGACGGACACTTCTATATCTGTCTGAAAGAGGACGTTAAGCCTGAAAATGAGTTATTTCTGGCATCCTCTCCAGGGAGAAAGCCTGGCTAACCATACCTCTGGAAATAGAGTAGGGAAGTAAGGCTTTGTAAAAAGAAAATAAATGAATAAAATCAATTTCCTCACCGAGACTGATAAAAACATAAACACACACAGCTGAAAAAAATGATTTTTCTATGTTATTGTATTAAGTCAATCAATCAATCAATCAATCAATCAATCAATCATCATTTAACTTTTTTGTGGCGCAAAAAATTACTGTTCACAGTCTGTACCACTGCTGCTATATCCTCCTTTAAACATCAGCTTTCATGATTTTAGATCTCGTTGACAATATTAAATTATTCATCTGTGCATGCTGAATAACACCTGTACGCTAAACATGAAGCTACAGCCTGCAGCTCAGATGAGCTTATTTTCAAATACAGACTTAAAACAGGGGGAAGAAACTAGCCTGGTCCTGTCCAAAGGTAACAAAACCTCTAAAGCTCACTAAGTTATATCTGGTTTTTTTAATCTGCACAAAAACAAAGTGTAAAACCTGCTACTGGCTCCAGCTTCATATTTAGCGTACAGACATGAAAGCGGTGTCTATCTTCTCACCTCACTCTCTGCAAGACAGATAAGTTTAAATGACAAATCACGACTTCTGGCTGCTGACCTTGGTAAGCCAACCTCTCACGGTGGGCTTGGCAGTGGTCTCCACGGTAACTGGGCTGCTGGCCTGGACTTTGAGTATGTTCTGCAGGACCCTGATCCACTCCTCCAGGATGTTGGGTGAATCGGCGGTCAGGTAGAAGGTCTTCTTCTCTGTAATCAACTGATTAGAGGAAAAGGCAGAAATATGGGAAAAATGCTAAGCCAAGCTGAGTGAGATAGCATCATCGTGTCAGAGGAGATCAGAATCAGCCTCCGAAGAGCCAGGAAAACATTCCAGTCCAATGCTATACCTGATGTCATCTTAAGCTGCTTCTCTGGTATGCCTCAGTAAAGCTCTGCTGTGATACAGTGCTATAAAAAGAGTGCTGGTTGGTGTGTGTGTGTTGTTGCACGTGCACTCTCACAGCTGTCTTTGCCTATTCTCTTTTATACCATATACTTTCAAATTGTAGATATAAAAAGTGAACTACCACAGCTTGTACAAGAAAGCAGTCACACTGTGCACTGTAAATCATACGTAGCTTATCTTGGGATATTCTTACAGACAGTTAAGTACTATTGGGATCCTTTTCTAGGGATTTCAAATATGTTTTCCACTTACTTGAAAGGTCTGTGCACCTTCTCCACGCACTATACGGCATGACGAGTTGAGCTCAATCTGACCCTGAGGTTTCCTGATCACATCACTCTGAAAACACACATTAACACACGAAAAAATTATACAAAAAGCTCATCAGAAAATGCCACTGCAGTGATCAGAGATGCATTAATGTTCATCTTTAGGTGCCAAGATGGTACTAGTGCCTTTACTTCAGCTAACCTGCACGTAAACACACTCAGTTTAGAAATATTCCTGCAATGCTTCCTGTGCAGGCAGCAAAACCTTAGAAGGAAGCAGGCAGGCAGGCAGGCAGGCAGGCAGGCTCACAGCGAGACACACTCACAGGAGATTTGTAGTAGAGGATCTCTCCATTCCTCAGGATGAACCAGCGACGTTTCCAGGCTTTCACCTGACTGCCCATCTTCAGCAGGTACCCAGACTTCTCCAGCATCTCCTACAAACGGCACAGGTTACCGCTAGGCGCTGTACAATACGTACAAAATAACTGCTTGACACTGAAATAGATGTAGTGGTATAGCAAGATTATCATACCTGTGAGTAATATCATATTTCTATATAGCATTCCTGACTAGTCTGACTATATTTGACCATCTCTGGCATTTCTTTATCATTTAGATTTTGTTAGTAAAGATGTGTTTATTTAAACTGGTTTATTATTGTCATTGCTCATTTTGCTTCCAGAGTAAAACACGGTCCAAAGAGGACTTGACTCACAGGCCCAGTGCTTTCACAGGAGTAGGAGGAGGTCCGCTGGAGTTTATGCTCTGGTTCCGAGTAATCACTGTCCAGGGAGTAGGCATCGGGAGGAATGGCATAGTCACTCTCGGAGCTTATGGAGGACATGGACACACCTGGGTCAACAGAAGATGGAACATAAAAAATAAAAAAAAAAAGCTACAGTAAGAAAGAAAGACTTGCTGGAAGCGGTTGAAGGGAGAAAAGCACAGGAAATAAATTAAACATGTCCTGATGGAGAGCCAGCAAGCAACAGGTGGGTGAAGACAGAAGGCTCTTAAATGGAAAATCCAGGCTCCTCTTCATCAGTTTGTGTTGCTGAATGCATTCCAGCAGTTTTCCAGTGTATCCTGGCTCGTTCCATACTTGTAATGCAGCATCTTGCAACTACATACTACTGCTTCCCTGTTTCTATATCTATGATGTTATGTATTTTGGATACACTAAAGAATTACATGCTTCTTACGGGGGTCAGAAAGAGCCAAAGCAGTTTCCGAAAATCCTGGATCTTAAACTTTCACTGTCAACAAGCGAGTGTTTCCTCCTTCCTGAGAGATTAACATTTCTACACCACAATGTACAATCCTCACCTCTCTTGACGGCACGTGGGCTCCCGGGGACGCTGCCCTTCCTGTCCGGGCTCAGGATGGAGGTCCGTAAACTGGCCAGAGAGCTGCTGTCATCCTCTGACCCAGAGTCATCATCAGGTAGAGGTACACTGCTGATCTGAGTGGCTTTCTGAAACAAACAAGCGAAAGAGGACGGTCAGCTTAAAACCAGCTTATGTCATTTCAGTACAGATGAAAACTACTCTGATGTTTTACACCACAGAAGAAGATCCAGCTGCTGCACCGTGAACCCATCTCACTCACCCCTTTCAGTGTGGTGTAGACTGGCACATTAATATTCTTATAGATCAACTGGGTGAACGGACCTGCCGCTGGATACTGGGGTAAGTTGGACCCTGCAACAAAACAATTCACATTTATTTTCATTCACTGTTTAATTTTTAGAGACAAAACAATTGCACAGCATTTATAACTTAAAGCAAGGCTATGTAACTTTTGCTAAACAGCGACCACTGTGGCCACAAGTGGCAATCACAGGAAAAAGTTGAATGCTAAAATGTAGTGCAACAGCACAGACTTTGTGACGCCACCCACAGGTTTCTGAGGAGTGGTTTTGAAGCTCCAAGTGGGCTGCTCTGCCGTTGCCGTCTTGGCAGTGTCTGACTCCGTCTAACTCCCAGCTAATCCAAAAATGGGCAAAGAGGTGGGGTGTGTGTGGAGCCGAGACTTTTTGTGAATGTTGGTTTGTGGCATACATTTTTCAGACCAGGAGGTTCCTGCTTGTGCAGCAGTGTGATGAACTGAGCAGAGGTCATTGTGATTGTGAATTTGAAGATTTTTCTAAGTTTGAATGTAAGTTTTCATTTGCAAAAGGAATCCACTTTAACTTCACACACATTTAAAACAGCATTAAAGCTTTGGAGGTAACCACTGGTGAAAAAAAAACAAAACAAAGTACAACTTGTTTCCAGTATTTATTTTGCCAGAGATCAAAATCCTCAAATAACAGATGCACCTTAAGGCACAAACATGAGAGGAAGCTGAATAAGCTGAGCAAGCTATGACTTAATCCACAACAGCCGTTTGGCAGTCGGCTACATGTACCTGGCAGTCGGGAAATTCAATAGTCATAGAGCTGTCAAACCTCTCTGTCTGCAACCCGACAAAATGGATGATGTCGGAACAGAAAACATAGCAGTAATTACACCCAGACCACGTCCTTTCATTGCAGCTGATTAAAAAGCAGTCTCTCCCTCTGCTCGTCTAAACCTCCCTCCTCCCATTTTCTTCCTCGGCTCTTTAAAAGCCCACATCTGCACAGGTGTGTGGAGCCTCGGGCCAGAGGAAGTGACATGAAAGGCAGCAGTGACAGATCCAAACCGACCACGCTCACCCCCCACAGCATCTTAAGCATCGCCTGAATGACATGTCACTCACAGTACTGACTCATCTTCCACACCACAGGCAACACCACCCAGGCACACACACAGGGTTAGACACAGCTTTCCAAATGAAAAACAGCTTTTTTTTTTACTGTCTTCCCCACTGCACCATAGTGAATATAACTGGATTTTGAATGTGTACGACTAGGTGCTTGTTTCTAGCTGTGGGAGACTCACCTCGTCCGGGGCCCCTGGCTCCAGGACTGGCCTCTGATACTCTCATTCCTGACTTAGCCACAGCGTAGATACGACTCTCCTGCAGAGAGCAAAACAGTCAGAAATGTTCCTCCTCACTTCACTTCGAAATTCATTACTAATCACCCTGAGACAGTACAACACCTCGGCATCAAGATCTTTGCTAAATAAATCTTAAATTAATAGTTTAAAAAGTTTGGAAAGTACATTTATTTGCTTTCTTGATAAGTTTGATAATTACATCAATTTTACCATCATGTCTTTATAAATAGTCTGGCTTTTCTGTTTCCCCTGTTTTTAGCCTTTGCGCTAAGCTAGGCTGAGCTAAGCGGTTGCTGGTGGTAGCGTCATATTTACTGTACAGACATGAGATCAGTACCAATCTTCTCATCTAACTCTCAGAAAGAAAGCTAACATACATAATCCTCTATTAATTCCTCCATTAATTTAATCTTTGAGCTGTGTGCAGTGACTGAAACAAAAAGGAAATGGATCCAGTTGAATTGCTCATGCATCTTACAGATAAGATTTAAACAGCATAAAATAATACAGGAAACATGCAGAAGTTGAAGGGACAATACTGGTCTTTCATACCCATGAAGGGAAGCGGTGTAAAGGAGGCGTTGGCGGCTTGAGAATTTCAGGATCCAACCGGTCCAGCTCTTCCGCAAGCCCCACAAAGGAGACTCCATCCCGGGATGACTCCTCTGATTCTGACCCCTCCACCACCCCGTCCATGCTGTCAGGAAGCCCATCATCAATGTCTGTTTCTTCCACGACCTGAGAGAAGGGCGAGGTGGCGGTGCCGGTGCTCTTAAGAGTGGAGGAGGTGGAGGATGGGGTCATGATGTCTATGTTAACGTTGAGGTGGTGCAGTCTGTCCAGGCTGGGCTGCGGCTGGCTGTAGTGCTTCTTCACCAGCTGGATGCTGTCTCTGGGGGTGAGCGGAGTTCGTACTTTGGGTAACGTCATGCTGGTGCCAGACTGGTGAACCAGGGGCTGGGGGGGGTTGGGAAAGGGGTTGTTGGTGGAAGGGGAGCGCGACAGAAGCGGGCTTTTGGGTGTTATTCCGATGGACGACTCCGGGGAGCTTGGTCCGTGGGCCATCTCGTAAGCAGAGGAGGAAGATGAAGACGATGAGGACGAGTGAAGGCATTGAGAGCGGAACTTGCTGTTGAGCTCATCAGAGGAGTTGTCTCTGTCCGAGCACCCCGCCTGACTCTCTGGGCCCACTGGGAGTTCTGGTCTACTGAGGGAAACGGGGCTGCTGGGACCCTCCCTGCTCCGACCCTGAGAGAGAGCATCGTGGGCAGCGAGGTCTCCGAGGCAAATCCCTATACTGACCTGTTCAGGAGACCTTTTCACATCTGAGAGGAGAGAGAATTTAGTGTAATTATATTGGAGCCAGCCTACGCACGATGAAGGAAATGATGAGGAAGAAACACTCGAGCGAAAATCAGTGTTGGTCTATAAACTCAGTGCGTTCCAAACAATCACAGATAAAATCACTAAATCTGCTACTGTTGACGGAGGTCTGGGGGATGTGATCGCGTGACCAACAAGCATTGTTGAGAAAATATGAGGGTTTGGAAGACACTGAACGTATCAATCAGTGGTGGGGAAGTGGTTTATGCTTTGGGAGTGGTTTAAAAAGATTTTGTGGACATCTTGTCATGTTTTCAAACTTTTTTGGTGGGACTCCACAAAGGAAGAGGCTAACAAAGCTAGAAACTAAACTAAAACTTTTATTTTAATTACGATCAAGATTCAACGCTAACCCCCACTAAACAGAACAAGATTTTGGAAAAAATGGTGAGATTGTTGAGCCTCGCAATCTGACTCGAGGTCACTCCATCATTACTGGTTGTGTTCCCGTCATGTGATCAGCCCAGCTTGAGTTAAATAACATTGCTTCAAAAGCTTCCTGTCAGCCGTCCCAAGATAAAATGAACTGAGGGAAGCGCACCTGTTGGCGAGATCTTGATATTAGAGGCGGCTCCACGAGGACCTGTCTGTCTCCAGCTGTCGTCTTGGGCGGGTGGCGTGCCGGGGCAGCTGGGAGGAAACAGAGGGCTGTTGGGCACCAGGTGGGTATCCATTACAGGGGAGGTGGCAGGGGATCCTGAGGATGTAGGTTTCTCTAAGAGTGCTGGGGGAGAAAGGCAACACCAGTAACTCTCTTTTGAACCGGAGCAATGGCAATCTATCTAATAGATTCATTCTGCACTCGTCTACACGACCTTTTACTGTGGTAACATAATACTCTTATTCTCTTCATTTAAACGCCAGTACTTCCTGCAGACAAGAAATATTAAAGCATGCAGTGTTCACATACACAGTGCATGATGAGTCCATCCTTTAAATCAAACTGTTTACGGAGTAGCTCAATCTTTTGGGAAATGCGCTTATCCGCCTTCTTGCTGAGAGTTGTGCTGAGTTTGTATCAGTTAAAATCAGTTTACAGTGCAGTTTTCTAAACACCTACAGCAGTACTCACATTGAAGTTTGTCCTGCAGCAACATTATTTGTTCTGTCTGCTTCAAGTTGGCCATTTTCAGCTGCTGGTTCTCTTGCTCCATCTGCAACAAGGTACAAATATACTGTGTATATATACATATATATATATATATATATATTCATATAGTAAAACACAAGCAAGAGTAGCTGGTTGCATCTATATACACTATTTATTGTGAAAACTTTTTAATTATGAAGTTTTGGAGTTTGTTCTGTCCTGAACTGAAAGCTGACTTCATGACTGAAAGTTGAATGACTCTTAAAACTGTTTAATTTCACAAATGCATACGTTGACATTTATAAGTAAGCTTTTTTTTTTTTTTTTTTTAAATTTCCAACACTTTGCAGATGAAATTTGTTTATAAACAGCTGTAGATAATACACTTTTAATCATATAAGCATCTGTTGTTGTCACAGATAATGTCTCTCAGCAGGGTGAGGGCTTTCCCAGAGGCTCTGTCTCCAGTCAGGGGTGTATCTGTACATGTTTGAGCTTACCTCTCTGAGCTTAAAGGTGACCCAGTCTTTAATCTTGGCAGCCTTTTCCTCAATTATTTTTGCCTCCTGGGCTCTGACTAAGATCTGCAGTCAGAGAAAACAAGGTTTATGGATTAATTCAACCTAAATTTCATGAACATAAATGTATATTTCTTGTTCTTTATCTGATGGCTCCATCCATACCTGTTTTTCCAGCTGCATCTCTAATCTCTTTATCGCAGCATCTTTTTCTTGAACCTGATTGGTCAGGTCTTGATACTTTCGGTACAACGAGCTCTCGGATTCGCTGGTTTGTATATTTGCAGACTTCAGCTTTTCTTCCATGACATGGATCTGAAATGCATAATTAGAGGAGTGAATGCACAAGCACGGCCAAAAGACAGCTCAAATTTGCATGGTTCGTTTATTCTTGATGGGCAGCAGACAAAGCCAAGAGGAAAACATGGAGGATACTTTTTGCCAACTCTGATGAGAAAAAATCTTTCTAAGCCCTGAGGTATTTCTTTTTTCTTTTTTTTTAAACAGAGGGCACCATTAAATTACCACCTACAGCAAACACCTGGAACAGCCAGTAATGACAGCAAATCAGAGATTAAACTCAACAGCAAGAGAGACAGAGTGTGTGTGATACGTATGAGGTTTCTTATCCTCAAACCACATTCTCCTTTTGTTAAGTCACATCAAAGCTTGACTAATTAGTGGTTAGGAGTCCAACAAAAAAAAACAAACAAAAAAAAAACACAAAATCCGACTAAATATGTGACTTTATGGATCCCAAATATAGGATCTCCTATTACATCAGTCAGTGTTGAACATGAAAGTTCATTCTTGAACTCAGAAACTGTAGTTTTACAGAAAAAAAACATTAATTGAAGATCGACTTACAAGCTTTTTCTGGAGCTTTCCACCACAAATCATGGCTTTTCGTAGCAGCTACACTTTGCTGTCAAGTTTTGCTAAAACACAAACTGAGGAAAGTCTAATTGCTGAGAAAGACTGTGAGATGCGGTTGAAAGCTACGGAAAAAGCTGAGGTATTCTTGTCAAATGACTCAATGTGTTGGAGAAAAATGCAATTAATTTTAAATATACATTCAGTACTTGTGTAAAAAAAGATAATCATGTCCTTAACAGATGTAACAAAGATTAAACTAACTATAATTTGATGGTTTGATTATTAGGTTTGTTTTCTTCTTTTCAACTATAATTTTGGTTTCTTTTTATTTTTTTAATCACTTATGACAAAATTGTCCAAACCAAAGTAATCAGTGATATCTAACATATCATAACAAGGTCTGAGGTAAGAAATAGGAGAGATAAGACAGAATCCAACAGGTTGGAAACAAGAGTTTAACCACTGTATCTAAACCAGTTTATCTGGGGGTAAAACTGAAAATGGACAGACTTGAAATGTAATTCTTTAATGTTTCTTTGTTATTGGACAAGTATGTACCATGAACCAATGCCACATACTTTAAAGAAGGGCTTTTAAAATACATGAAACTCAACTATGAAATACAGTACATACAAAACAGCACAAAAGCACCATTGTAATAAAAGTTCAAGTTATATTTCACAAGCTGTGCTGCAGGATGAGAACCGCCCCTCTACCTGTTTCTCTGCGCTCTCAGCTCGCTGGTCGGCCTCCGTCACCCTCTGCTCCAGCTCCTGCATCTGTGACAGACAGGGACAGAAGAGGTTACTATGGTTTTAAGTTTCTGTCAGTCTCTGTATGGGATACTGAGGTTGGGGATGTCTCAAAAAAATAACATGACATTTAATACACATACAGCTCAGAGCTACAGGTTCTGGCAAGACATGTCCCGTAACTGGCAACAAAAGGCCCAACTAGACAGACAGACCACCTAACCAGAAGTCTGCCTAAACACACACACACACACACACACACACACACACACACACACACACACACACACACACACACACACACACCTACAGACGCATGACGACACACATAATCCTTCATAATCACTGTTGCCATAGGGAAGGCATTTAAAAGATTAATGGGCTGGGAAGTTTTAACAGACTAGCTGTGTTAGGAAAGCCTTTCTAATCAAGACAATGTTGCTGAATCAGGAATGCATCAACACATGTGGAGAACAATGAAGGGCAATATGAATTCAGCAAGGAGGAAAGAGAGTCAAACATCTGCCATATCAGAGGAACAGAGAGAAGAAGCAGCAGTAAAATCAAACCATTTACTGTCTAATAAGGAGTGGCCCTTTGAGCAAGAAGGGCAGGGACATAGTGTAGAAGCAGCAGAGAGGCCCTCAGAGGAGGCTGAACATCTTTCACACTAGCACTGCTGATCAAACAACAGTGTGATAGAAGAATGGGTCGTGTGTGTGTGCACAAGCTTGCGTCACCTTTTGTGCAAGCATGCATACTCATGCTTTCAAAGGCAAACACTGCCCATCCTGCAAGTATGCACGGATCTGCAAGTATCCTCTCTGTTAGCAAGATACACACACACACACACAAACACACACACACACACACACGAGTGCATGCACAGAAATACCCCCAAACGCTTTCACACACACCAGTTCAACACAGGACGCCCTTTCTTCTGAGTTCAGTGACCCAGTTGAAAGGAGAGCAAATATACTAATGGATTCACTCTGCTTGAGAGATACATTTGAATTCCTCCCGTCATCTTTGTTCGCCTTCCTTTGTCTTTCTTTCTGCCTTCCAGTCACCTCCATAAAGGCCCCCTCATTCCCAGAATCCACCACTCACAATATTTGAATGCTTCCTTGCAGCCAGATTAACACTCACTAAAGCCAGAGCGCATTTGCAGGGGGAGGCGTGGGCGGAGGTTGATGGTTAGTGGTTGGATGACTCCTCACCTCAAGGTCAAAAGCTTCTGTTGTGAGTCAGAGGTTTTGCCGAGCTCGAGCCGGAGAGGAGCAAACAGCATTCGCTCTCCTTTCAAGAAACAAAATATAGGATGAGCAAGCAAGCACTTTAGGTGAATGTAAAGCACCGCAGAGGTCACAGGGTCGGACAGATGCGAGAAGTGGTCGTCAGGATAAACCATCAGACGGCCTCAAAAGCTGCCACATCCCATTTGGAGGACAAGTTAGAGGTCAGGAAGTGGAGGTGGTTGGACCTTGAGGCACGGGATTGAAGTGTGAGCTCGCCAACACTGCGAGCGTGAGGGCGAAACAGAAGCCTGGATAAAGAGGGAGTATATAGGAGGAGCTGCGCCTGGGCTCATAAACTACTGAACTATTGAAGTTTTGTTCCAACAAACGTTACGCAGAGAACAGATTTTAGCTCTGCACCTGCACTGAGACAAAAGTGGGTTCCTTAAGGCGATCGTTTGGAGGCTAGGTAGAAAGATGAGATGAGCTGTACCCTGATCAGATGAATTCAATAACCCCTTCATCAATACCATGTGTCGTGTTCCCAATGATTCCGTGACTTTAAAAACGGACGTTATTTTTTTGTACAATTGTTACAATATTTAACGATATTGTTCGAATTTTTTATATTTGATCTGTCAACGTTTAGATTGGTTTGGTCGAGTCTGTATTTGCACTACCAGTTGCAATAGACAGATTTCAACCATTTATCCATTACTTTTAGTTCTTTTAACTGTTTATTCATTGGCTATCTATTTTTATCCTTTAGTTTTAGCTTAATCCTTTACTTTTAGCCAACTATTTGGACTGTATATTCGTTTCTTTCAACCATCTATTCATTACTTTGCTAAGATGTTTTACTATCTAACTTTCACAATGGGAATCATTGTTGTATATCATCTCTGCCTTGAGTTCCTTCTCAGTTTGAACAATAAAATGAGTGACCTGATGGTAAAAAAAAAATACTGCCTTCTATAACCTTTAGGTTATCAGATATGGATACAGACTGTGTAAGAAGGTGTCAGGACACAGTGCGACTCACTAACTTCTGCTGCTGAGACAGCTGAAAATGCATGAGACGGGGGGGGGGGGGGGGGGGTCATGTTTGTTCGAGCTGCATATTAGCAGTTGGAGTTGTTCCCTTAAAAGAAAAAAATGCCTATATACTATATTTTTCTCTTGTGTCAGCCAATCCACAGACATCACAAACATCCTGGAAAGTGCTGAGAGACAGACTAATGTTGGGTTTGGTCTTTTCATGGAATTTATTGACAATAACAAAAATATAGAAGATCATCAGCCTTACCCTTTACTGAATGCCTGTTAGCTGAAAACTGATGGTAAATCTTAATGGGTGTAAATTTGTGCTGAAGTTTTGCAGGATGAACTTGTACGGAAGCAGGGCGCTGTCCCTCTCGGCTATAGCGTGGAATGCAGAGGGACTGACAGTATCCAGGGAGGCAGAGATAAGAGCAGGCTACAGATAGCAGGTCATCTACACATCTGCTCATTGTTGCTACCAGAAACAGGCTGACTGAGATCTGATCCTACAGATCAAATTTTCCTGCTCAGTGACAGTGACAGGAGATGGGATGGAGAGAAGGGGAATGACATGCAGCTAAACAAGCCTGTTGCTCTAAAGTGTTTTCTATTTACCTTTTCGTATTTTAATTTATACATTAACGTCTTGTATTTTGTTACATGCTTACAATAAAAGGAGAAGAATAATTAAATATGACATTTTATTTGTTGAGTTTATAATTAAAAATGTTAAGAAATAGACTTTTCCATTTCGTAATTTTATATAAACTATTTATTCACTGAATGTACAGAAAATGTGCCATATCGTGATATGTATCGTTATCTGGATATGAAATGACATGTGTCACGTATCATGATGTCATGATATGAGATTCTGGTCATATCGCACAGACCTTGGCATCATTTCAAACAGTAGAGAAAGTAAAAGAGGAGTCATCCAAAATGGATTTCACTCTGAAATATCTGTTCACTGACTGTTCCACTTGCCTCTTTAGTCATTAACTCTTATATGTGATGCTTAGTAATGACTTAAATGTTAAAACCACTGAATGAGAAATAAAATACTGAAAGAGTTAGATTAGGGCATGCATACACACACACAGACACACACACACACACACACAGAGGAACATCTCCGCTTAATTAAAACATTACTCTATGCCTCAGTGATTATCTATCGAATCCATTTTAATCATTAAATAGATACAGATACGGAGAAAAGGGGCGAGTAGAAGAAAGCTGGTTCTTTCCTCTCCCTAAATAAAAGCCAAAAAGCCTTAACACGATAGACAGATTTGGGCAGTTGAACTATTAAAAGCAGCTGATCCAAACAAATCCTCTCAAGAAAATAAATATTTATACACACAAATGTGAACCTAGTGATCTTTCTGCAGGCTTCCTCGCTGACTGATACCACTGGCCTGAGTCAAATAACAGTGTGTTGCTCCTCGAGCCACGTGAGGCTTATGGAAGAGATTAATCTAATTTGTCCAGTATTAGATTAGCCAAGTAATGAAAGGAAACCTTGAAGTGGGGATACCACCCAATTTAAAAATTCCTCTGAATAACGGTATTTCTATATTCTAGGAAAGCAAGTGAAACTCTAAACCTAAGTTTCTGGATTTATTTCCACGAAGCTCTGATTCCAGTCTCAATGAGGATCCTGATGTCAAACCATTCTCGGAAACCTCATCTCTCTCTGGGATCCTGTTCGGTTATTTACTGGTTCCTGGATGTTTTACTGTGTTGAAATATTGTGATGAGGTGAGTCAGTTGTAACTGTAATTATTTTCAGTGTGTCAATGTGGTTTATTGAATCTTGTGCGGTGCTGTGGTTCTGTACCCGTTCTTTAAGCTTTTTAAATATATTCAGATATTTTCTATGTATCATTTTCAGCCATGCTAGCAGCACGCCAGTTTGGGGCTTTTAGTTTGAAATATCTCCACAACTACTGGAGGGAATATCATGAAATTTTGTACAAACATTCATGGTGCCAAGAGGAAGAATCCTGCTAAATTTTGTGATCCCAACACTTAACTTCTAGTGCCGAAATGACTAACTACCATGTTAGCCGTTTGCTGGTATCAGACCAATAAAGAGTTCAAAATTAGAGAATACAGCTCCAACCACTCTCTAGTTTTTCCTCGAAATCACACACAGAAAGCAGAAAGCTGTAACTTATATTTGTGACGTAAACAGATGTGGAAACCTTCAGCTTTTCAAACAAGGAGTGGACAGATTTAACTCCTTTGCTTTTTATATCGGAATTAGCTTTTTTCCTACAGTAAAGTTGTGTCACTTTTGTGCCAAAAGGAAACCCGATATTCTCACCTGTCACGTTTCAAATCTCATCTTCAGTTTTTTTATGTTTTTTTTTTTTTTTTTGGGGGGGGGGGGTGTTACGTTTTTAAAATGAACAGCTGACAGCCGTCGATCACACTTCCACAGTAAAAAGTCTTCATGGAGTAATCGTCCTGTTACACTCCTCACGGGGCAAATGGGGCATCTCCTTCCCTCTCTCCTCTGCCTCACTCACAGTCAGCCTCTGGAGATAAATGCCATGTCACAGGCAACCACGTCAGCTTTTTTTTCATTTTTTTTTTTTCATGTTTTTCCATACCAAAGTGGGTCAATGTGTAAAACACTCCTAACTTGGCAAGAGAGGAGATGAAGAGCGTGAAGCAGTCTTTCCAAACAGCAATAACATGACGGAATGGTAGTCACTCAGCACCCCCCCACCCCACCCCTCAGAAAAACACACTCAGCAACACAGGTCTCCACTTAAACTCCGCTCAGCCTTCTGTGTGTGTGTGTGTGTGTGTGTGTGTGTGTGTGTGTGTGTGTGTGTGTGTATGCATGTACTGTATGTTTAAAGAGATGGAGTGAAACTAAAAGTGAGAGATTAATCAGGAATAATTTTTAAAAAAGAAGAATTGAAATCACGGACAAAAAGAACATAATAAATATGATATGATTTGTTATAATGGTTGTTTTTAGAGAAAAGTATGAAGCGTAATTAGTCCATTTTCAAAATAAGAAGCTAACAGTGTGTGTATGTATTAATGTGAGTGCCACTTTTTATCATGGCATTATTCTATATTTTTCTTAATGTTGAAAAATTTCCCATGAAAAGACCAAAAACCAACGATGCATTAAGAATCAAGCTGCCTCTCAGTACATGTTGACTTTAATACTGTGTAAGATGTAAACCTTTAAAAACAGCAAACAAAAGAGGTGGATCCAAAACTAACCAAATTCCCCATGTTCATTAGCCTCATAATTAGACTGAACTGACATTTTCTTTCACTTCATTCATTCAGATTAACATCACCTAAATAATTTAACTAATCCATCACAATTGAGTGACGTATTCATCCCGCGTACGCCATTTTCAGTCGTCGCCCCTGTAGCGGTTACTCTAGTCACTTAACTTAATTTTTTTGCACAATAATCAAATAAATATGCTGGTTTCTGGGTTGTTATCTATTGTTGAGCATGTCTTGGATTTTCTTGGTTCTCTAGTTAACCAGCTTTCTACCGGAGCAGCTGCTTCAGCGTCATCCACACTTGTCGCCATTTTTATGGACATTTTTCCGTCACTATTTTTCAAGGATGTCGCTACGTAGCTAGATATATGAAGATGACATCCACATTAAAGTTCTGATTTGTCACTTGTTGCCTCAACTGGTGAAACAGCTGTCCATGAGCACAACACCAGACCTATTTGATTTGCAAAACAAATCAAGAGATCTGATCTGATCTTTAATTTTTTATGGACAACAATGGAGGTCTACGCCACAGAATAATAAAATGTATCAGGCTTTGGCTACACAATCAATACCTGTTGCTAGTTTTGGTCTTTTCGTAGGAATTGGTGACAATAAAACATAGAATACCACCAGCTTTATTCCATAATAAGTCTTGTATTTATGTCTTACATATCAGTAATAACCTTCAAGAACTTTTAGGTTGTCAACTTGTGAAAAATCTCTTTAGCTGGTATTGATCCTCCTCCAAGATTATTATAGTGGGACCATTTATCACTGGCTTTCTCTCACTGTTAGGGTTATAAATGGTAGTAAGAGTGTGTGCTTGTGGGTGTAAGTGTGCTGCATGGGATCTCACAGAGGAGCTGGCCTGACAGAACCTGACAGAGGACACAGCAGGGAGTCGTCCAGCTCTTATCAGCCACCGGGTTATGTTTGGACTGTAAACATCCTGCTGACTGACTGAATGAACCACTCGACTGCTCCAGAATTAGAGATGATACAGAAAGCGAACCGCTGTGACACTCCAAACAAAAGCAGCTCCGAGCTTTTTCAGTCTTTAAAGAGCGGCCAGTTGTAAAGCTCCACAGAACCCCAACTGAAAACTGTAGAAATGTCAAGACAGGAGAAGAGTTTGTCTGCTACTGAACTCATTCCTCCTTCCTCTAATCCAAACATTTCCACTCTTTTACCAACAAATCTTCAGAACTGGACTGAATTTCCTGATGACAGTTGATTACTTTCCAGAGCGGCTGGTAGTCAGGCTTTACAACAGCCACAACTTTACAAGCATTTGGCCGGCTTCTTGCGGTTATTTCCCCAACTTGAGGGGAAGCACCAGAAGTGATGAGTTAAACCTTAAATATTCATTTTGGCTGAAACTATAGCCAACCACTGATGACACAGAGTGAGTGGACCAACTGTTTACCAAATAAGCTGAGTAATCTCATCTGTCTTTGTGCACACGCATAAACACACAGTCCTCCACACCTGTATTTCTAACTGATTCACATGCTTTAGTTGTTTGGTCATGCATCAAACACATGAAAACGCCGCCGCCAGAAGAAGAAGAAGAAGATGAGGCTGTGAGATCTGCGTGCTGTTAGTCGAAACTTCTAGCGGCATGTCTTATTTTGAAGATCAAAAGGCATGAGAAGTTTAAATCTAATTTCCAGTGTAGTACGATGGTTCAAATGGCCACACATTCAGCTCATATTAAGCTTTCAATGCCAAAGCAGTGCCAGATGAAATCATGAGGCAAAACATGTGATACATTTTGTAGCTTAAGTTCAACATCTTATACTTACTGTACCTCAGTTTTTCTTCTGTCTTGTCAAACTTGCATGTGAACCTTGTAACCCATTAATTAGTTTAATGACAGACCTGTCAATTTCTCTCTCATGGGTTGCCTGTTGGCATTTTACTGTAGGTTTAACGGTTGTTGTCAGGCTGTGGTAAGGAAGAGAAAGCTCCCAAGTTACTGGTCAGCCTTTGTTCTGATCCTCAGCTACAGTTGCAAACTCTTGCTACAGGAGGTGAAGGGGGAGACTGCAAATAAAAGTCATGTTTTTTCTGCTTAGTGGCTGTCTTCAGGAGCTCAGGAAACCAGACTTAGTACATCTTGACACTACATTTCCCATCTATCTTGGGAATGCTGTTGGATCCCCCATGAGATGCTGCAGGGCGTTCAGGGCTGGCTCTGCTTCCACTTAAACTTAACAGATCTTAAGTTAAGGACTGGGTTGCACTAGCCACTCTCTTCAGGACTGGGTTGCATCAGCTCTTTCATAAAATCCATTTCTAAGGTTGTTTTTAAAATCCTTGCTACCAGCTAGTTTCAAAGTAGTGAGTTACTGAAACATGTTGGACCATTAAAACATGAGAAATGTCTTACTTAGAAAAGACTTTGTTAATGTGTAAATCAGTTTCTAGTAAAATCTGTCACCATGTCCAGTCAAAAACAATCAACATGAAGTCACTGTAACATCACAATATATACAATACATACATTAAACTTACCTGCCAATCATCTGTGAACGTTGGTATGACTCTTTTATTTGTGCATACTTGGAGAAATGTGTGTTTTTCAGACTTGGTAATATGAAGTTTAGAGTGAGTGGGAAATATATAATAATGCTAATGTCACCCACATTATGTGGTTTAGTCGTTGGTGGCATTACATTTTGTAATTTGAGGTGAAGTAATTTATTTTTGTGAGTAGTTTACATTATTATAAAACAGCATTTTGTAAGTGTCAGGTCAGATGTGTTGTCCATTCTCCATATTAACTCTTTGACGCTGCTCTTCATCCGAAATGGGAGTTTGGTGCTTGCTAACTATGTTAGCCGTCAGATAAGCTAGCTGGCTCAGTTAGCTATGCAACAGTTACACCTGGCAGTTACTGGGTGTAAATATTTAGTACCAACTTGATGTGTGAGTCTTCACTTTGTAAACATTTACATCTAGGTTAAGTTTGAATCTACGAAGAACTACAAATATATCTATAAATTTTCCAATATGGTGTCATACAATCCTTGCATATAAATCTTTTTCTATCTTTTCAAGCTTCTGATGAAATTCCTGAGGATTAGTGCGGCGAAAACTCGGCAGTCAGACGAGGTCGTCTAGGTGACGTTGGTCAACTCGTTCTGGTGCCTCTGCCAACTGCCACTTAGGCACAAAAGCAGCAGGTGAGTCCTGAGATCGTTAATGTTGGTGAGTCAGGCAGCTGCTTTTTACAGTGTCAACAAACTGACAGGTCGATGTGGTTTGCAATAGATCAAGCTGATAGTGAATTTTTAGGGCTCCCTCTTCAGGACTACAAGACAAACTACTTCAAAAAGGTTTGTTGTGTTTATCAGCTGCAAATTTTGCTTTCGAACAGGTCATTACAGTTCAAATACTGAATGTTTTTTGCCCCACGTTTAAACAAACTTTCACATTTTTAATAGAAAGTGGCAGCCTCACTATATAGTGCCCTCAAAAATTCACACAATGGAACAAAAAAAGTAGTATCCCTGGCATGTAGCTACACTACTCTCTGCTAACAATCTCACAATTCAGTGTGTCACATTTCATAGATGTGAAGGTTCCCTCTGTGTGACTCTGCACCTGTCAGTGCTGATGCAAAATGCCCCGTGATTTGTAACCGTCAGAAATCTCAACTGCTGCACACTACTGAGCAAAGTATTGAGTGTGTTATACATGGAGCGATTTCAGACACAAGCTTCTGCGTGCAACCTCTGCTCGCCATACTACCCTTGATGCTTTTCTCTCTCTTACCTTCTCTGCCAGCAGCTCTCGGATTTTCCCTGCCTGGAGCCGGAACCTCAGCAGCTGCATCTCCAGAGCAATGCAGCGTTTCTGCCAATCCACGCTGGCCGCTCCAACAGCTCCCGACCCGCCGCTCTCCAGCACGTCGGCCATGGCGAGGATTCAGAGCTCTGCCTCTGCACTCAGGCCGGACTGAAAGACAGAAAAACAAGTCTACTTAGATCTTTACGCCCGTATGGTGTAGACTACTGTATCAACTTCAATGTTACTCTCAGTAATGAGGCAGAAAATCAAAAATGACTTCATATCAGCCACAACTCGATGCTTAAATAATCCTGTGATGATATTTCCTCAAGCGGTCCAGCTTCTGTTTTCATTTACAGCACAAGAGAAGAAACAAGTGATTTAACTTCTAAAATGCTCCTCTCTGACCGCACTTCCCATGATTCACTGAGGAAATGTGAGCAGAGCAAACACTAATGATGAGTCCACAATGACATGAGTTTAATGAACGTTTCCTCTCACTTTCTGTGTTGCTGTGTGACACATAACCGCAATGAAACGTGTTCTGTTCTGTAAACACTGGCTGATCATACATGTAACTGTATGATCACCGCAGCCTGAAACTTTCTCTCCTTTCAGTTCCCGAGCTCTCCACATGCCCACACACACTGAACAAAACCTCAGCAGGGAGGCTCTGTGTCAGTGGGGGAGTTGGGTTCATGCGTGCTGGCTCCCAGGCCTGCCAGCTACAAAGCAGGTCAGTGCTCTGTTTTCTAGCCAAATTACCTACTAACCCAATCCCCTGGTCTCTGCCCCCTCCCCACCCACAACTCCCTAGCCATGCAATCCCTTCTTAATTACAAGGCAGGAGTGAAACGGGATCCTGCGCGGCACAATAGTGTCTTTCTGCATGACAGTCCCATCACAGCTAGAGAGGGGGGCCGTCAGCTCGCCTCGGCAAAGAAAGGAGGAAGGAATGTGTGAGGATGAATGGGCCGAGGGCTGAATGTGGGAAACTGGGGCTCTGAAGTTATTTTTACCTGAGGAGGATTGACTAGTGGCTATTTTTCTCTGGCAGGATTCATTCACAAAGGTTAAAGCCTGTGTGGAGTCAATAAAAACCTGATTATCTTGAGACAAAGGTAGCCATAACAGTCACGTATAACCCAAGAGATTGGTGATGATGTTGAGATGTGTGAGATTTTGAGTGAAATTTTGCACGTCATTAAATAAAACTCAAACCGAATGTAGTTCAAGGAAGTTAGAAAGGCTTAGTATTCAAACAGAAAGACAGGCAGACTCAAAGTGCAGCCAGACACCGTCAGCAGAACAGCAGACGTTCAAAGTCCAGCAACTATAACTGCACCATGGCGCTCCCTACAATTAGCATGCTCATAAATACAGGCCTAGCAAACAAATTACAGAAGTCATGCATGTGGAGGTTTTGCCAGCCGACCGCTGTACCCAAGCTGGACAGTCAAGGTCCAGCTACCGTCGTCTCCCTCTTTCTCTGGGGCAGACCGGACTGTATGAAGGTCAAGTAAAGCAGGACGCTGGAGAGGCTAAGAGAGGACATCAGTCAGTTTGAATAAGCCCTGCTGGGCCACACTGGGGCAAGCGAGGACAGAGGAGGCCAGGCCCTCCTCCAGGAGCTAAAACAGCTGGGTGTAAACAAGCCATTTGCTGGTTAAACACTCTCAGCACTGCCATGCTAACGCTCCCCGGAACAATTCCTTTAGCACTCTCTCTGCAAGTTGGAAACAGGGGGGTTGTTGGAGCTCATGCCAGCCGGTGCCAGGAACCTAACTGAATAATCAACAAGTGCAAAGTTAAACTTTCTACTGAGCAGGACGAGGAAGGGAAGCAATCAGAGGTTACAGAAGGGCAAGTCTCTTCTCAGTTCACTGCGTAAGGATAAAATCAACCCCAAAACACCATCCTGTCAGGAATGAGGTCATTTGCACCGTGTGTGTGGGAGTAATGTAACCCAATGCTTCGCTTTTTGTTACAGTTAAGATTTAAACTGGAGTCATTTTCTCCTTTTGCATGAGCATAACCCTCCATTGTGGGATGGTTTATAGAAAAACAGAAGACCATTTTCCACTGGGTCTGCTGTTATACGTCCGATAAATGCTATTCTCTTCTGCAGTATCTTGTCTGTCTGGCATATGCCATTGTTGAAAACATTCAGGTAGGAGGGGAGGAAAAAAAAAAGCCAAGACAACAAAAATAAGCTTTCCAGGGTCTGCGGGCCATGGCAGATCCATGTTTGGTAACAGTCGGGCCACCCAAAGCGGGCAGGCGGGCAGGGAGGTGCATGAAAGAGCTGGAGCCCAGAATGGTGAGTCCTCTCCTGGCTGCAGACAGGCGCGAAGGCCCCGGGAGCTTCTCTACTTCCATCTAGCTGCAAGAGCTCGTGCGCAGCCACGGCCAGAGCAAACACTGGGGAAGACGACTGAATGGAAACACCACCGCAAAGATCCCAGCAGTATAGTATCTACCGCAGCCATCGCTGAGAACGGCTTTCTATTGACTGCACTGACAGTTATACTGCATTATTCCGCACACCGAGTGAGATTTGATATCCAGCAAAGAGAGTTGTTTTTTTTTTTTTTTTTTATTCAAAATGTGGAAGATATCACGGATTGTAATAAAGTTGTTTGGAATGGTGCGGCATGTGATGTTTTCTTTTCTAGTTGTGCGACTGCGCCGTTGCCATTTCTCGTTCAATAAAAGGATCAAGGGTGTGTGCTGCTCTTTGGAGGATGCTGGGAGCACACGAGCAAGTCTCAAGTCAGCCCTTCCATTGACTGGAACATCCTTAATCACCACATATTCAAACACACACTCCCCCGGCCAGCCGTAACTCTTCAGCGCTTGCTTACCAGAGCGCAGACAGACACAGATGGAGATACACACAGAAATAGATTGGAAACAGACACACGTGCGCACACACACACACACACACACACACACACGTCCTGACACACTGCTGAGCATGCAGCTGTGGTGATGTAAGTGATTAGGTGGTTCAGTGATATCATCCCCACCAGACATTTCAAATCCCTGCCGTTGTTGTCTCTGCAGAGGTCCAACTTGGCTCCCCACCCCCCCCTTTCAAACTTCAAATAAAAAAGACTCCCATCAGACAGCACGGGAGCATGTGTGTGAATGTGGGTCAGTCGCTGCAGATTCGTGTCAGCGTGGCAGATCTCTGTGTGTACGAAAGGAGACAAAGACAAATTGTCTGAGAGCACGAGGAGTCAAGTATGGGTGTGTTAAATATTGCCTTATCTACTCCTCTGTGGCCCCATATGTTTAACAAAGGGGGACCTCTGTCGACTCCCGTCCGGTCAAGTAGGCCTCACACTTTTGTTTAAACTAGCACTGCACTATTTTGGTACCATTTTACAACTACAGCTGGGACACACTGCTATAAATAAAGGAGGGAAAACTCCGATGCAGCCTCACATTTCTTAACCTTTGACCCTATTCTTAGAAAACACAGAGGTTTATGTCACTGGGTGCAAAAGGAGAATGTTTTAAAACTTTATAAATACCAGCATTTGCCCTAGTTTTTATTGTTATCTTGCAATAACTCAGACTCAAAGGGCAATTTCAACAGAGGAATTACTCAGATCAGATATTTAAAACACTGTAGAGGCCGATGCAAGCCTTCAGCCTACTTTTCAAATTACAAATATATCTCATCTTAATCCTCCCCCCATTTATCTTCTTATCTATCTTGTCTTACTCCTCCTCCTCTTTCTATCTGCCTCACCTCTCCTCCTCCAACACTTCTCACTTTCCATCCTCCCTCTCCTCCTGCAGCACCTTTCCCACCCTTCCTCCCTTCCTCCCTCTTCCCTTCCTTCCCTCCTTCTTTCCTCCACATCCTCTTCCTCCTCCTCCTCCCCCTCCTCCTACCTTTGCCGGCTAAGCAAACCTGCAGCTCTCTCCCAGCACAGGTTAATGACAGGTCTCAGCAAACTGACCACACTCATTATCAGTCTCAGCCTTAAATACAGGCCCTGACATTCCTCTGTACTGAGGTGTAAACATCTACCTCTGCAGCTCTTCTGTCCTGCACACACACACACACACAAACATTTAAGCCTTGACTCTCTTGCAGCACTGCAGGGCATGGAGAGAGGATATGTTTTGGGAAAACAATGGCATGAGTTACAGTGAGAGACCCCCCCCCCCTAACCATACAGTGTGAGACAAGACTATATATCTTCTGTCCATGTTTGAGCTTGGGAAGGTGTTATATAACAGCTATGGCTGAAGGAGTCAGATTGATGTATGGACCATTATGATTTCTCCAGATGCACAAAGGATAAGAAAAATGTGCAGGTGTGGCACATAAATGTGCATTTCTGTCTGGATTCGTACTATAGACTTAAAATAGCTTTAATAAATGTTGTTAGAGCTCCTCCAGGGGCAAGCGGTGGCCAAGATATTTGTCCAAAAAAGGCCACAAGGAACAGGTGTGCCAGACGCGCACTGCTTAGTTGAATAGTAGCAACCGTAAAACCGTAGGTCAGCAAAAAAAAATAGTTCACGCAGGCATCAGACATCTCTCAAAATACATACCTACAGCTGCGGTGCTTCTGACCCAGGCAACCTCCTGCGTCTCGGTTAAATTTATCCTCAGTCATGTGCATGTGAAATCAGTGCGTAAAAGTGCAGAAAGCAGAGAGATAAATCGTTGCTCCAACAGCGGAGCCCCTCACAGCTACTTTACCTTGTGACTTTGTTGTCTCTCCCCCCTCCTCCTTCAGTCGGTTTTCTCCGCTCACGGACACCTTCCCCGGTAGTTCGTCGCAACTCGGCTCATAACTTCGTCTCCCCCCGGTCGACTTTCTCCTCACTCTCGCCGCTCATTCATTTCTTTTCAGTGTTTAATCGCGTCCCGTGTCGCCCCGTCCCCGCTGCTTGTCCTTCGCTTTCTTTGGAGCGCAGACTTCAGTGGGACTCTCTCACAGCTCCATTCAACAGACTCATCCCATATTCCTTTAAAGGGCCCAAAGCAGGATCAAATTTCTCCAGGAGTCAGGCCCCCCCTTATGTGCAGGAGCTGCTCAGGATATTGCATTAAGGCTGGCTTGGGCTTTCCCTTTAGGATGTAAACACAGTCCAGTGAGGAG